CTCCTCATCCTCCTGCAGCTCCTCATCATCCATCAGCTCCTCACCCTCCTCATCCTCCAGCATCTCCTCATCCTCCTGCAGCTCCTCATCACCCCCCCAGCTCTTCATCCCCCTCATCCTCCCGCAGCTCCTCATCCTCCTGCAGCTCCTCATCCTCCAGCATCTCCTCATCCTCCCGCAACCATCAGCCCAGCTGATGGGGAAGGTGCGAGGAGAGGGAGACGGGAACCTTTCACCCAGCGCTGGGTGGGTGGTTTCTCCCTGGGTGGGTGGCTTCTCCCCCAGGAGCACCCCCTTGGCCCTCAGCACCCGCTTTGCATGGTGCATCCCCGCCATGCACCGGTCTGCAGCTCCCCAGGCAGCGCCCCCGTGCAGCCCCGGGCGCGGGGGGTCCCTGCGGGGATGCTAAGGTGCTCGGGGGGGGTCTCTGCTCTCCAGGAAGGAGGTGGGCCTGGACCTCTTCTTCCCCAGCCAGATGCAGGAGAACCTGAAGGTGAGGGACACTCGGGTGGCTGTGGGTGCATACATGCCGGGCTGGGTGCACGGATGCCGGGTGTGTAAGCGTGCACAGACAGAGCTGCGGGTGCTCGTGTGCGTGCGTGGAAGTGCACACGTGGATTTGCACGTGTGTGCGCGTCTGGCTGCACTTGTGCACGTGTGCGGCTGTGCTCACACGTGTGAAGATGTGTCTGCACGTGCACACCCACGTGTGTGTGTGTATACATGCACGTATGGAGCCAGATGTGCGCATCAGCGGGCACAGACGTGGACATGCACATCTGCCCACACTCGTGGCGCTTCGCACGCACTGGTGGAGGTGTGTCTGCCCCTGTGCGTGCACGCCCATGCAGGGCCGCGTGTGCGCTCCCATGTGTGTCGGTGTGCACGGGTGGCTTGGCGTGTATAGGCATGTGTGCCCACACACGTGGAGGTGTATGTGCATGCCTGCGCAGACGTACGCGTGTACCAGTGTGCTTACGGAGGGATGCAGGCACATCTGCTCACACATGTGATGACGCGCCTGCGTGCACATGCATGTGCGTATGTATGCACACACGTGGCCATGTGTGCACATGTTGGTTTGCACATGTGTGCACGCCCATCTGCCCACACACATGAGGGAGCACGCACGCAAAGGCATGGTAGCACGCACACACGTGTGGACATACAGGCGTGTGCACACTGATGCATATGCATATGCGCTGGTCCGTATCCATATCCGCAGGTGAGTGCATGCGTGTGTCCGTGTGCGTGTGTGTGTGCGTGTGTGGCTCACACCCGCTGCACCCCGCATCCCCGCTGCATGCCTGGCACGTGGCCGGCGTGGCTAGCAGCCGCTGTGCCCACAGCCCAAGCAGTTTCGGAAGATGATCCAGCAGACCTTCCAGCAGTACGCGCTGCTGCGGGAGGAGGAGTGCATCCTCAAGTTCCTCCACACCCTCGCCACCTTCGCCAACATCGACCAGGAGAGCTACCGCTGCGAGCTCATCGTGAGGCCACGGGATGGGGTGGGATGGGATAGGATGGGGATGGGGATGGGATGGGATGGGATGGCATTAGGTGGGATGAGGTGGGATGGGGGTTGGATGTGGATGTGCTGAGGATGGGGATGGGACGGGATGGGATGGGATGGGATGGGATGGGGTGGGATGGGG